GATAGGCTGTCAGTTTTCAACTGGTTATGCCCATCTCCAGAGCTACTGTGAGAAAACTTTCTAGTAGAGTGGAGATAAAGGTCATGTGCCTTGGACAATCTACTGCATGAATAGTTCCCAAGGTTAAACCTAAATCTCTCTGGCTCCCAAACCTAGAGAAGACCCTCAAGTAATTCACTGGTGGCTTTCTGCAGTAGATCACTCTAGTTTTTTTTTTTTGTAATTTCTATAAATGAAATAGTTCAGCATGAGCTCTTTTCTATTTGACTGAAAATTTCACGCGCCTTAAAGTTTGTATATTCACATGTGGTTGGTGATAGGATTCCACTGCAGGAAGTCTAGAGGCAACAAATCAAACAGACAAGGTAAGCTCTGGGGTTTTCAAATACCCTGTGGTCACTGGCCTCAGTACATTTGTCTAGGCACTTCATAGAGAGAAGAAGTTCTTATCTCCCTGTTCTGGGGCTCTCCAGCAGGACAGCAACAGCCCCTGGTTTCTTTCAGGGCCCTGGGCTGCATCACATGGTGCTAGATAACTTGAGGGCAGGAATATGTGAGAGAGGGAGAGATGACATGGTGAGATGGGAAGCCAGACAGCACACGGGGCCTGTCCTCTCTTATTAACAACCCCTCATGAGAATTAGTCAGGGTCCATGAACTACCTTGGACATTTCAATGGACCAAGGCTCCAGGGTCCTGTCAACCTTCCCCAAGCCTCACTTCATAAGGGGTCCACCACATCCTAACATTGCCACACTGGACATCAAGTATTCAAGACAAACACCCCTGGTGACAAACCACAACCAGTGGAGAGGAAATCCAAATCAGTCACAGACAAGGCCAGCCTTTCCAAAAGTTCTCTGAAATAGAGAATGAGGCACAGACACAAGTGATTCACCCAGGAAAGAAAGAAATAACTGGAAATACCTTGGCAGAACAATGTAAGTCAACATCAATCTTGGGGAAAAATACACATAAAAAACAGTGGTGTAGTAAAAATGGGGAAGATGGGATCTCCCAGTGCTAAGCCCTTAGAGGTAGAAAGGCATCAAACATAACATATGATTCCTATTAAAACTTACCTATCTGGAGAGGTCAGTAAAAGATAACAAGAATAAATACATAGGATATTCTGACTGTTGGTGCTCCTGTATTCTAATTGAAAGATTTTCTAAATGAGCCAGACCTGACACCCCTCCAGCCCCTCACATCCATGCATCCAATCCAAACCCATATCACCACACTCCTAAGTCCTGTGACCTCACAGTCACTCCCTGTGATGCCTGTCCTCAGGGCCTCAGGACAAGTGCTCTCCCTCCCATTCCCCTACAAGCCCTGTCTTCAGTGCCCTTCATTCTCTTCTCAACTCCCCATTCCAGGGTCTCAGGCCTTTCTCATGGCCTCTGCCCCACCCGACCAAATGCCCAAGCCTTAACTCTCAGGCTTTGCCAACTCCAAGTTCACTGCAGACTGATCACAGCCAGTCCCACCATCCTCCGTCTTGGTCCTGGGTGCACACTTCGCACACTTCATTGTCTTCTTATTGCACTCAGGTTACCTGCATCTACATCTGGACACTTTCCTTGGTCTCACTGGTGGCCTTGTGAGTCCAGTTACACCACATGGCTATAGAATGCAGCCTTGTAACTATTCTTGAAATCTGGAAGTGTACAGCTTTGAATTTGGATTTTCTGATGTTCCCCTCGCTAGTCTTTGTTCTCACAGCCCCCTTAGCTCTCTCCGCCCACCTCCTCCCAGCTCCCTCTGGCCAGATGTCTAGGTTCCCCCCACCTTGGCCCATTGCCCCTCTGCAGACTTACCCTCTTCTTGTCACACTGCAGGCCTGTTTTGGACACCCCTCAGTGCAGGACCTCTGACCCCAGGCACATTCACAGTGTCCACATATGGGATTCATGCTTCGGAGACAGTCTGCTGTGACCACCACCACCCAGTTTCCTTCACCTCTGTTCACACTGCTGGCTCCAGAGAGCATCTGCGTTCCCACATGACCATGTGCCCATGTCCCCACTACCTGTTAGACCACAGGACCTTAAGTCCCTCTGCACTCTGCCCCCTCCTCCCTCAATCCCAGATGTGCACATTTACATTTCCTGGGTATTTCGTGACCTTTTTCCTTTCCCCCTCGACCTTCCCTCCACATTCTCTCTGTCCTGCACATCACAGGATCTGCACTGTCAACCGAGCACATTCCCCCTTTCTCCATGTCATCCTTTTTCCTCATCTAACATCCATGCCATGGCACTGCCCCAAACACCCCTGCTCCTATAAGACTTGACCTGAATGGCAAACTTCACAGTGTTTATTAAGATGGTAAATATTGACCCTGCAGGGGTGGAGGGATTACAAATATCAGAGCAGACTTCTGTGCTGTGGCCACCTCTTGAGGCTGTTGGTTAAATATTAGCAGCACGGGCATATCTGAGAGAAACTTTAGTGCAGGCCTTTCAAACAGTCTGATTCTGCTGCTGTCACTATTGAGAGAGGTTTTAGATCATTTCGTTTATTGTTATATTTCTCCCCCATTCAATAAAGTGTGTGATATTGGTACAATATTGTTCTCTGAAATTTTTTTGATAAGAAATTGGCATTGAGTTGTGCAAATGGGTCTAAATTTATTTACTTGTATTTGTGCAGATGTGTGCAATGTGTTTTGAGGACAATTATTAGCAACATTTTCTCCTTTTATTCATGTTTTTAAAATCTTTCTACTTGTTTTATCTCATTTCATTTCCATTTTAGTACCTTAAATAATCATGCCACTCAGGGAAATAAAGAAAAGGAAGTAACCAGATTTGGGGTAGAAAACTTCTGAAGAAAGCAAGGAATACAATTGGTCATGCATAGCCTACTGCCAGGCTATTCCAGGACAAAATTCCAGGTGAGACCCTGCCTTCCTCCAGGGATCAAGGATACATTAAAGCCTCTCTGAAAACTCTACTATCCCCTTAAGAGGCTGTAGCAAGAAACTTTGTAATTGTTTTTGCTACGTGTCACCTGGGGAGAACGTTTTCAGACGTGTCCTCAGCTCCCCAACCTGAGTGCCCATTGCTGCTACAGGCACAGTGATCACTGCAGGTCCATGGGGAGGTGAGGTCACAGAGTCACAGACTCATACATTAAGAGCTACCTGCTTCCCTGCAGCAAATGTCCTGGTCACAGAGACCTCTGCACTAAGATTACCATTCTGTCAAAGAGAAAGAACCTGGTGAGTAATCCAATTTCAGTCTTAGAGTAGCATCCGTAGGAGGAAGACCCATTTCAAGATTTTGGATAAGTGTTCACATCAGAAAAGGGGAGGCTGGATTGAGCCCCATAGATTGCCAGAATCATACAGGAAGTAGATGGAGTGTTGAAGAATGGGCTCAAGACAGTTGAGATAAAAGGGGTGGCAGCCTCAGCCTCAATCTCTGATGGTTCCTGATTAAATAAATGTGATGCTCACTGATAGTGATAGAGATGTCTCAGTCCAAATGAAAAAAAAATGTGGTTTTTAAAGTGCACCGGAGGTAGTTATAAAACTATTCCGCTCTTCAGTTTCCTTTACAGGAATTCTATACTGATTATACATCAGTCTTATAGCTGGACTTGTAATACCTACATGCTTGGATATAGAGTAGGAATAATTTTCAGGAATCCTCTAGTCCTGTGTAGAAAGTGATGTGAATGGTGATGCTTGAGAGAAAGTATTCTCTAACTCTGGGCCCAGTGCAGACAATGCAGACACTATTTGTAACAGTCTGAAACCTTCAGTCGCCTTTGATTATAGTGAGGCTATTTCCCCTTTAAATTAGTAAGAAGGATTTATGTAGTGGACATAATCATTACAGGTTTCTTGTCTTCCTTGTTAAAAATATTTGCCTGGTTGTAAAAAATCCACCATCTGCTCTAGGAATTTGATAGTGCAGCAGGCTTGAGTGTGAAGGGGTAAAATAGGAAATTTCTTTATTTGTTTTATTCTGGTAAACCTAAAATTTCTCTAATCAGTAACATCATGTGCATTCTAATGACCTCAAAAATCCTACTGTTTGAATTTTAAATGCACATGTTTTCATGCCCACAAGTGCCAGTTTGTGTGGTTGGCTCCTACTGTTTATCATTCCTCAATCTTACTTCTGTGAAATAGTTTTACTTAACATTGGTATTAGTGAACACACATATGGATCCTCTGCAATGAGTAAATATTTTTTATGCCCTCCACTCATTTAGTCTATGTTCATTCTTAATGTTCCAAAGCTGAGGACTTGGCCTATGATTGTGGAACCATTCCTGTGATATGTATCATTGTACTTTGTTCCTAACATGTGACCAAGTGAGTCATGGCATAGCTGTGCTGATGAGGAGCCAGTCCTTCATCACTGCAGGTAACTCACCATGGGACAGGTGCCTGCAGTGCTATAACTCCCTCAGTGCATCTGCAGTTATTATAATATCTAAATGATCCCTCCTAATTGATATTGCATGTAGAATAAATCTTTAGGAGCAAATGGAAGTTATAAAATAGCACTTGTTTAGAAGATAAGAGGATTGTAGAAAAGCAGAAGTAAATATGAGCTGAATTGATAGAAAAACCCCACTCACTGGCTTTAGGGACAGTTGGTGTTTCACCTATCCTCCCTATAAACACTCAGTTTCAAGGCCCCTCTCTGCATCTCAACAGAGTAGGAATTTGGACAGAGACTTATCCTCCATGTGCCCAAGTTCTCCTGGTCCTCATGCAAAGTCATCTCAGCACCTGGCTCATGGTGTAAAATTTCAAGAATCACAATGTGCTGCCTGCACAGCAGGGATTTACACACACTTCATGCCTTAACTAGTCATAGGAGCCTCATCAAAACCTTCTAGTGAAAATAAAACTTTAAGTTCACAGTGGGAACTCTGTAGAGTGGGCAATGATAAGTCACTGCTGATGGGACACGTGCAGCCCAGGCCTCCTGTTCCCCTGCAGGTCCCTCTGGCTTCAAATGCAGGAAACTGGCAGGATGGCAGCCAGTGATGTGGCTGTAGGAATCATCTTCCTGTCACAGACTGTGGTTGGAGCTCTGGGCAATTCCTCTCTTCTCCTCCATTACCTGGTCCTTTACTTCACTGGGTGCAGGGTAAGACACACAGACTTGATTCTTCAGCACTTGATTGTGGCCAACTTGTTAGCTCTCCTGTGTAGAGGAGTTCCCCAGACAATGGCAGCTTTTGGAATGAAAGATTTCACCAGTGATATTGATTGCAAGCTGCTATTTGCTCTTCACAAGATGGGCAGAAACATGTCCATGTGGAGCACCTGCCTCCTAAGCATCTTTCAGGCCATTAAGATTAATTCTGGGAACTCCAGGTGGGTTGAGCTTCAAATGAAAGCTCCCAGATACATCATTTCCTGCATATACCTGAGCTGGGTCCTATCCCTTTTTTTAAATGTTATAAATTTTATGTACATGACTGAAAAAAAAGGAACAAAACCATCACCAATGTAATAGACTATGGGTACTGTTCTAGCATCCGTCATGACCCAACCACTAATTCACTGTTTGCAGCATTGCTAACCTTCCCTGATGCTATGTGCGTGGGGCTTATTCTCTGGGCCAGCAGCTCCATGGTACTTGTCCTGCACAGGCACAAGCAGAGAATGCAGCAAGTTCATAAGACCAGCTCCTCAAGGTGCTCCCCTGAGTCCAGAGCCACCAAAACCATCCTCCTCCTGGTGAGCACCTTTGTCTCCTTTTACACACTTTCCTGCATCTTTCAGGTTTGTATGAGTGTTATGTACACTCCTAGCTGGTTTGTGGTAAATGCAGGTTTTATTATTGCTGGGTGTTTCCCAGCTGTCAGCCCCTTTCTGCTCATGAGCCGAGACTATAGTGTATCTGGGCTCTTCTTTACCTGGATACAGAATAGAGGAACCCGTGATATTACGGGACAGTTGTAAATTGTAAGATTTTGCATAATTAGTTTTTTTTGTTCTTACCCATGAAGTTATAAAAATAGTAATGCATAGTGCTATCACTTGTGAGTGGTGGTTTATATATAGACACTTTTATATATGTGTGTTGCATGTGTATATGTGAATATTTGTATACACAAGCATGTGTGCATGCATATAGTTGGGTTATGTTTATAGCCATCAAGCAACAGTTCTGGAAAATTATAGGTAGTGAATGGAAGTTTCTGATTTAAAATAGTACTAATCAAAGCAGTGGTAAATACTTTAACATAATATATACCTTTTGATTATTTTCCTGATATTCTAGTTGATTAAGTTATTAAAACATGTGGACTCTTTTTTATTTATTACTTTTATATTTATCTCATCTATATTTTTGAGGAAAATACCAAAGTGAACTCTGTGAAACAATATTCATCTTTATCCAGTGAAATTAGACTTGTATATTTCACACATTGTTGGACCAAAGGGAAAGCAGTGACACTCTAATGTCCCTGTTTATGACATACGTTATATTGAATTTCCTTTGTTGGTTGTTGCTGTGTTATTTTCATTATGTACTTTTCTTCTTTTCAAAAGCTAATTATTATATGAACTTCCTTAAGACACTGTCCATGCTGACAACAGAAAACACTGGGGTAATAACATATTTTGTTATAAGTGAATTTGTACATATATATGTTAACACTACTCTAATGGACAAGTCTGGCAAGTGATGCTCAACTGTTGTGGGCTGATTGCTCAGAAAACACTCTCAGCCGGAATTTTGTCCAAATTAGAGAGTTTTATTTAGTCAGCTGGTGACTGTTCCCCTGCAGGAAGGACCTGAATTGTCTCTGCCAGGAAAGTCACCGGGTCCAAGTTGTGTGGGGTTTATAAGGGGAAATAACCACATCCTTGAAAGGTAGGTGCAGGCAATGGAGCAGGACATAAGGGCTGAGAAAGCATTTAGTAGAGCAAAAACAGACAACCACATCCTGGGTTTGAGCACATTTGTCAGCATATAAAGTACAGAAAAATGATATTTAGCATTTTAGAAACTTCTTAACATTATTTGTTTTATAACAATTATCTCATAATCCCATTATCCTACTTATTAATATTTTATAAGCTATAATTTATAATCTCTAATCTATATTAATTAAATTCAGACCATAGCATTCCTCACTGGTTTTGGGGGATATAATCAAATCATTGATTCCTCTGTATATGTTGGGACATAATTATCCCTTAAAACCAGTAACTTTATAGATAGTATCTGTTGTTTTATATACTAAATCTGAAAGTTTAGAATACATGGTCTGATTAAGAGTCGTAGGAGTATTAACAGCAAAGGACTCACTATGGCCAATAAGAGAGGGGTGGACCATGGAGACCAAGAAAACAAATTTTGATACTAATTATTTTAGTCTTTTTGTTTGTTTGTTTAATCTTTTTTGAACCAGTGACAAGTTTTCTCTTATTACCCAGGAGTGGTTAGTATGGAAACAACACATTTCTCCTAAGGTCATACAAAGACCACCTTGTTTCAGAAACAGAAGGTTTTGTTCTCTTCTATTTTGTAACATTATTTCTGCCAAGGAATTGAGAGAACTTTTATATTTGTTGGCTGACAGTTTTAATTGTGTAAGACTATGTGTCTGCTTAAGGTTTTGAAAGGTTGTTTTAGCAACTCAGACCTTATAACAATTTTTTGGTCCCAAATTAGCCTCCATTTTGTGACTTTACCCTATTCTATATTTACATTGACTGTATTTTTCTCTTCTAATTTTAGGGATTTCTTACTCTTGTAACAAAAAGGGCAACAACAGCTCTTGCTGTTTCAAGCTGAGAGGGGGTGATGTGCAGCGGGGCAAGCCATTTGGAGTCCCTTTTTAGAAATTGGGTTGTTCAAAGGGGTCCATGATGAAAGTCTGGTTCATGAAGAACAGGTCATAAAGTCACCTGGGGATTGATGGTTTTATTAGGGAAACTAAAAGCAAGAGTCCTGAAATAAAATTAATATAAAATAAATGATGCATCATTTATAACATGTCGAAATTAATATTTTTTCTTCAGCAAGAGCAAGAACTGAGAAGGTGTTTCCATAACAAGGCCTCATAAAGACTAATAAGGACTTTATTTGGTAATGTAAACCTCTAATATTGTCAGAGTTATCAGGAATGTAAACACAACTGTTAGTTACGTTACTTAATGTCATCTGATTTTTATAAAATATCGTTTAATTGGCATGTCCTTTGAACTTAGTAGAGATTCCTCTATCTTTGTTTCTTAGGGATAGAGAATACCTGTGTAGGAGCTTAGAGATCTGAAGGCCTTAAACTGACTAAGAACTTTTAATTTGGCCAGTTTTTTTATCTTATTTATTTGGTGTGGGGGGCAGGCTCTAACATAAATGTGTATCTTCAATTACAGTAAATGTCCAGGATTTGTAGTTTCTTGGTTTTAACTGTTTTTGCTAGGTGTTTAAGATCAACATGGTCAAATGGACCTTGGTTCTATCAATTGTTAAAAGTCAGCTGAGTTCCCCTTGGGAGTCACTGCAGGAACTTGTGAGCAGCCTCTTAGCTTTGCTAGTGCCATCTGCATGAGGATGGATTAAGTTCCCACTGACTATGTGGCTTCCCTTGGAAGTATCAGAGTGTCTGCTCTTTTCAATGACCTTCCTCTTTCTGCAGCTTGCACACTGACTCCTTTATTTACTATCTGTAGATGATGGCTTAATGCCTTAAATCAACTTAGGTTGTTCTAAGGCAATAATAACAGTAAAGTATACAAGGAAAAACTCTAAATTAACAAGACTAAAAACATATTTAGTTTGTACATAATTTTGAACCTTGGCTGAGTTATATATTATATTCTGTGTTTGAGATCACAGTAATCTTTACAATAAAAATAAATTTTTGTACATAACATTAAATGAGTTGAAGTCTGGCCTACTTTGGAGGAATTTTAATATGTAGTAAGGTGGGAGGCAGAGCCTTAGTTCAGGTAAGATGGTGCTCTTCACAAATCTTAGGTAAAGTGTTTCAGTTTTGAATCTGTTATTTTTTTTTGTGTGTGTGTGTGTAAAAGTGCTAAATATTTTACAATAATAGACCAGACTATCATTATATTTAGAAATACTTTTAAATAAATGCCAATAAAATTTTTCATCAGTATAAGTCTAAAATTACCATGGCAAACAACTTTACAAGTTTCAAGAACACCAGACGTGATAAAATGTTTTCTTAAACCTTTTACTTTAAAGATTTGTATTCCTGGAAGATATGAACACATTATATAAAGAAGAGTAAAATCTTCAGTGTAATTGTTTAACTTTTAAAGAAAATCCTAGACTTAATGTAGTTCAATACTTAAAATAAACAGTTTCCACTTAATCAGAGTTATAAAAACCTTGATTTCTTAAGACCATTTGTTCTAGGAAATAAAATTTAACACAATGTTAGGAGTAAATTAATGTTTTAAGGAATCCTTGTCATTTTATCAGATTAAATTCTGGTTTGTACAAGTAAATTAATATTTGACCTTAGGGGGAAAAAACTTGAATAGCTTAAAGTATTTGTGTTACATATATATAACCAACTGAAATACTCACCAATCTTTTAAAGTATACTCTTTATTCATATACACCATTTATTACTTACCTAGACCTTCTTGTTTTTCACTTGGATATATTATAATTTTCTCATCTTAAGACATTTTCCCTAGAAATATATATATATATCCTTTTATGTTTTTAATGTGTTGACCCCTCTTTTTGTTTATATTCTGAATTAATCCTTACAAATTTTTGAATTTAGATAAATTACTCCATTTTAATAAAATGAAATAATTTATGTTATTTATGGTACTTTAATTGAAATGTAGTTGAAACCTTTAGATTCTTTAGATATAGAATTGTAGCTGTTGGGACTTTTAACTTTTAATAATCTTGTTTTTAGTGATAAAGTAATTTTAAACTTTTTAATTTTTTTTCCAATTTATGAAAACAACAATAATACTTAAGTATATTACCTTAAGGAATTATTAAGGGTACTTGATGTTATATTTAACAGTATTTTAACTTTGTAGATTAATCAGATGTCTCTAACAAACACATTTGTGATGAGTCTCACATATAAGATCTCAGACAATGTGCATTGAACAGCATTTCTTTCCTGTTGAAGAAAAATTTTAGAAACAATGTATATTAGACATTTTATAGATGTTATAGACATTTTATTAACAGTTGACTATGTACAGAAGCTTGTGAATTAGTAACCTTAGATGCCATGACCTGCACCGCCAAACTAGCAGGTTCTTGTGAGGGGCAATGGGAGATTGGAAGAAATAGTCACACATGCAGATCTTGAAGGTAAAACTGGGATCTGGTAAAGCACTGCTTTCTGGTGGATAAGCAGATCCAAAAAGTACACCAGCAATCTTTATTATGTATGTCTCATTAATCAGATTAGAAACTATGCAAGCTTTATTCTTAGTATTCATGAAAGTTAGAGAATTAGCACCACTATTCAACTATTTTCTCAGTTACATTCTACAATTGCAATGTGCAATGTTAGAAGCACTGTGCAGCTCTCAAGAAAGTCCATTGTCTAAAGTTACTAATTCATGGCAGATTCAGGAGCAACTGGTGAACCATTGTGCTTATCTTAGCAAGGAAGTTCCTTCATTCCCAGGAGCTGTGTGCCTGAGAATAAGGTTAAAAATGATAAGACTCTAGCAATAGAGTCTCCCCATGGAGAGCATTGCCATAGCAACTGGGCATTCTACACTTTTGCATAGGAACTTTCCTAGTCACCACGCATGCCACAGCCATGAAGTCATCTAGGAACCCAGTCTCAAACACTGGTCTCCCAGACACTGTCACTGACTTAGACACATTTTTATTTGTTTACCCAATTTAAATTGAACTTTTTGCATCACACGAGAAAAAGGTATTTGAATTCATCTTTAAATTTTAATTTATGAGCTCATATGTCAAT